ATAGGTTCGGATGGCATTAATCTAGATATGATTTTGCTTACATTGCCCCGCACACTGCCCATTATTACATCTATTGTAAATAAATCAATTGAAACCGGTGTTTTCCCTGATTTATGGAAAAAAGCCATAGTCAGACCCACCCCGAAAACGGCACACCCTAATGACTACAATGAACTACGACCTATTAGTATTCTGCCTTTTTTGTCAACTAATGGAATACCTTGAGGTTCATAATATGTTACCTCTGAGACAGTCTGGCTTCAGAAAGTCACTGAGTACTGGCACCGCTTTATTAGATGTTGTGGACGATGTCCTGGCGGCACAGGATGTTGGGTATAGTACATTGCTAGCGTTGTTAGATTTTTCACGCGCTTTCGATACTGTTGAGCTTCTAATATCTAAACTTGGATTCTATGGTTGTGATAAAAACGCCTTACAATGGTTTAGTAGTTATCTGTCTGATCGCTCACAAGTTGTTGAAATACAAAATCATAATGGCACAGTCTCGGTTTCTGATGTTAAATTGATTCGAAGAGGTGTCCCCCAAGGCTCGATATTGGGACCGACATTATTTATTCTTTACACTGCTGATATTATTAATAGCATAAACAAATGTAATTATCATATATATGCCGATGACTTACAGTTGTACACTTCATTTAAACCTATAGAAACTCACGTAGCGGTTAATAGACTGAATGAGAATTTAAATCGGATACACAGCTGGTGCGAACAGAACAACTTACTTTTAAATCCTAGTAAATCTAAGGTTATTCTATTTGGTACAAAAAACTTAACGAAAAAAGTATTCGATCAGAACCCACAGATTTCAATTATGGGTGATCGTTTGGAATTTGTATCAGTAGCTCGCAACTTAGGTCTTCTTATGGACCAAAAGTTACATTTTGAGGAGCACGTAATACAGATAATGCGTAACTATTTTTATAGACTCAGTGTTTTATACCGTATCCGCGACTACTTGGATACCAATATGCGAATAAAATTGTGTGAATCACTCGTTCTATCAAAACTTAATTATACTGATACGGTTTTTGGAGAATGCTTACTAACCCGCACAAAAAAAATTATACAGCGTATTCAAAATGCGTGCATTCGATTTTGTTTTCCAGTTCCTCGATACTCACACATCACCTCTTTTTTAAATTCCAATAAAATGTTAAATATGAATGCCCGACGAACCTTGCATTTCGCTTCGTTGCTCTTTGGAATCATACATAAAAAACAACCATCATACTTATTCAGTAAACTTCAGTTTAGTCAACGACTGCCAAGACTTGCATCTCTTTTAATATACCCGCAGTACAGTACGGCGGCATTTCGTGGCAGCTTTCGCTACGCTGCCACGAAATGTTGGAACAATCTACCGCCTCCAATTAAAAATTCAAAATCTGTATCTACATTTAAACAAAAACTTAAGAAATTTCTATTAGAAAATCAAATTTCCACTGTATGACTGTCCGTACTGTATATGTATTTTTTACCGTTTTATATGTGTATTTTCATTTCCATACATTATCATAGCATAGACTTACACCTTATCAAAAGCACCAACAGCGCACGTTCACGCAGGCAACAGTAGGTACACAAATTTTATATTTTAAATTATTTTCTACAAGGTTCCACTGAAAATCAGCGTTTGGGCATTATAGCCCAAACACAAAGCTGAGTGGAAACCAATTTGGTGGCAGCTGTATTTTTAAAATAATTACTTATAATTTTTATAATATGTTGTATGATTGCTTTGTATGCGCCAGATAAATATATTTTTCTTTCTTTCTTTCTAAAGCACTGACGTAATGACTCTCGTGAACCCATACCATAAATAGAACGTATGGCTCTCTTTTGTAAAACAAATATAGTATTTATATCGGCTGCTTTACCCCACAGCAGTATGCCATAAGACATTATGCTATGGAAATAACTAAAATATACAAGTTTAGCCGTCGCCACGTCTGTTAATTGCCTAATTCTTCTAATTGTATATGCAGCAGAACTAAGTCTACTGGCTAATTTTGAAATATGGGGCCCCCATTGTAATTTCGAGTCCACTGTTATACCTAAAAAAACTGTATCATTAACAAAATTTACTATTTCGTCATTAAGCAATAACTGTGTATTTATTAGTCTTACATTAGGAAGTGTAAATTTTATACACTTTGTTTTGCTGGAATTTAATAATAGGTTATTACATGTAAACCAATTTAATATTGCAGACATAGCACAATTTACATCGTCTAATTGATTACTTTGACGTCCAATTTTAAACACTAACGAAGTATCATCCGCAAACAGCACTATATCTGCAATTTTCTCTACCATAAAGGGAAGGTCATTTATGTAGATTAAAAAGAGAAAGGGGCCTAAGATTGACCCTTGTGGAACGCCCATCTTAATATTACCTCCCTTAGATTTTATACCGTCAATATCTAAAGTTTGGACCCTATCCTCTAAATAAGTTCTCATTAATTTTAGATCATTATCTCTTATACCATAATGTTCGAGCTTGTACAAAAGCGTTTTATGATCCACACAATCAAATGCCTTTGATAGGTCACAAAAAACTCCGAGTGCATCCTGTGATTTCTCCCAAGATTCGAAAATATGTGTCATTAGCGCAACACCTGCGTCAGTGGTAGACTTGCCGGCGGTGAAACCATATTGCTGACTGTGAAGCAGTCCGTTAACCCTGAAGTGTTGTAACATTTGATTTAACATTATCTTTTCAAACACCTTACTTAGAACTGGCAAAATAGTATTTTGGCTTTCCACTAACTTTAATGCACACAATATACAAAATATAGTAAAGTACATTTGGCGGACTTAACACCATGCGACATTTTCTACCAGTCGACCATTGGTGGTGCAGAGAATAAATGTTGGCGGTGCAAATATAATAAATGATAAATACAATATATATCTAAGGAATACAATCATAAATTACATAAATATATACAAATATTATATTATACATATATACAAATAAATATATACACACATATATAAAATAAATATATACTCAATAGTCTGACAGTCACAGAACCATAGAGAGTAGAATGGAAAAATAATGAAAGAAAGAGAAAGAGTAGTAAAAAGTTACAAATTGAGATAATGTTCCGGTAGTTAGTATTTAAAATAAATTTTGTTCGTAGCGGTTTTGATATCAAGAGGTAAGTCATTCCAAAGTTTGATAGCCTGAACGGCGAAAGAATAGTGGACGAAACCAGACAAATATGCCGAAACATGAAGTAGAAATCTTCTAGTTGTGCGAAGGGAGCGATTGGTGTTGTCCCCATGGAAGTGAAATTTACTCTTAATATAATCAGGAGAATTTGGATCGTATAAAATGGAGTATAGAGTACATAGAATACGTACATTTCTACGGTAACGGATAGGTAGCCATTTAAGCTGTGAACGATAAGAAGAAATATGATCGAACTTGCGGAGATTAAAAATGAAGCGGATAGAGTTGTTGAGAAGACGATCCAATTTGTTTAAAAGGTCAACATTAATGCTAGAGCAACACACATCAGCGTAATCAAGGGTGGGAAAGACTAAGGATTGGATAAGGAGAATTTTTGTACTTATAGGGAGGAAATTTTTAAGCCTATATATATTACGCAGTGCCATTGTAATTTTTCGACTGATCTCATTAACGTGATTGATTGTCCAGCTAAGAGTACTGTCCATCAATGAACCGAGATTTTTAACATGAGCAGTATAGGAAATAGTTTGATTATTAAAGAGAACTGGAGGCAAAGTGCCATAGTCAATTTTGCAAAGTTGTTGTTTGTTTCCAAGGATTATTGCTTGACACTTGGAAGGATTAACAGATACACCAAACTTTTCGGACCATTTAAGAATATGATTAAGATCAATATTGAGATGATCGATGGCCTCACCAAGCTCAGAAACTATAGCTTGAGAGTATACCTGGAGATCATCCGCATATAGATGGTAAGAGCATTTGAGATTTGTAGTGATAAAATCAATAAAGATAGAAAAAAAGTAAAGGAGACAATATACCGCCTTGCTGAACGCCAGCAACAAGCTCACACCACTCAGATAAAGATTGGTTCATACGAACTGCCTGCTGACGACCACGAAGATAAGATGCAAACCATTTAACAACTGATGATGAAATCCCAAGATGTGCAAGGATGGCGAGTAAGATGTCGTGATCAACGGTGTTAAATGCATTGGAGAAATCGATTAAGACGAGGACAGTTAATTTAGATTGTTCCATGCCCTCCCTCACGTCCTCAGTGATTTTCAGTAAGGCAGTAGTAGTGCTGTGTCCAGGACGAAAATCTGACTGGTAAGGACTCAATAAATTGTTTTTCAAAACAAAGCCAAATAATTGTCTGTGGACAACAGTTTCTAAAATTTTTGAGAGGAAGGACAGGATTGAAATTGGTCTAAAATCCTTGGGAAGTTGTGGGGATGACACTTTAGGAAGGGGAAGTACAAATGCTTTGAGCCAGGGTGTTGGAAACTCGGAGGAAAGCAAAGAAGAATTGATGATGTTAGTAATGATAGGTAGCAAATGTTCAAGTAAGAGAATAATCATTATCCTATTCACATCATCAAAACCAATGCAATTGGATTTTATTGAGGAGATTATCTTGTAGACTTCATCATCAGCAACTGGTACAAATAAAAATTCATCAATAGGACGTTTAGGCCATGAAGTTATTTCAGCTAGAGAAGTAGATTTCAGAGAATCGCTCAATATGAGAACGGTGGAAAAATGCCTGTTTAAGTCATTTAACGAAATAGACGAGGAAAAATCCTCAGATTGTTTGCACAATCCAAGTGATTTGAGAAACTTCCAGGTATTGGCCGAAGAGGTATTTAGTATGTTCGAGTGGATGTGACGGCGTTTAGCAGCTCTTACCATATAGTTGCAGCGGTTGCGCGCAATTTTGAATGCCCTCAACGCACGGTTACGCTTTCTTAAAACCATGTGCACTCCGCAGTTATCAGGGAGCTGGCTGTCTTTTAATTCTGACAAAGTGAGCCGGAGCATGCCTGTCAAAGATTTGGAGAACAGACTGGTTAAAAACGGACACCTTATCGTTTATTGACGAGGCGGATAGTACACATGACCAATCAAAATCAGTCACATCTTTCCCTAAAGTTGACGTGTCAATTTTGGCAAAACTACGCAGACGAACGACGGAAGGCTTAGGCTTGAACGTTTTTATGTAATATGAGACGTAAAGGAGATCGTGTCTGGAGAATCCAGGTGCTGGAAATTGACCATGCTTTAATATGTAATCAGGTGAAGACACATAAACATGGTCAATCCAGGTGTCATGAGAGTCATTGTTAACGTGGGTAGCATTAAGGGGTAACACAGAAAGGCCCACCGACTCCACAATATCGCCCAGCTTACGAGATCTGTAAGTCTCTTTGAGCAAGTCAGTGTTGAAATCACCCATGATAACATGATGTGCATGCTCCGCCATAATATTCGCGAAAATAGATTCAACGTCATGGAAGTAGTCAGTGGAAGGAGGACAATATATAACCCTTAACATCAACCGCCACGAACAAATATTCAGCACCACCTGCCGCAGTTGAGATAGCTAACGTTTTATATGGGAGACCACTCCGTAAGTAAATAGCTACCCCACCACCCCGCCTGTCCACACGATCGTTTCGTATTAAGAAGTACCCTGGTAAACTAACGGTAGTAGACAGCAGAGAGGGTTTTAACCAGGTCTCTGAAAACAAGATCGCGTCTACAGTATTCACACTAAAAGTATTCATTAATTCACTATGATGTTGAGGTAAACTTTGAGCATTAATGTGACAAATGTTTAGGTTGCGGTGTGTTTTTAATAATTCGTTGCTAAGATTAGAAGAAAGAGATACATCTAATAGGGACATATCAAGAGACATAAATGAATCATTAGAGCTATGGGCCGAAAAAAAGGATTCATTGTCAGACATTGTAGTATCAAATATGTAAATAAATAAGTAATATATACATATAATTAATAAAATAAATAATAATAAGTTAACACAATATAAACTAATAAAAATGAAGATTAAGTGGACGCGTTGCACCAACACTCATACCTTGCACCAACCGCCGGCCAACTGCAAAAAAAAAAAAAAAAAGAAAAAAAATCAACAATTCACAACAATAGACAAGCATATTCAATATTTCAAACAGTAAGCCCACATGAAATAAATGTTAATACGTAAACTTAAAACTACACAATCTTCAAATTTGAATAAATCAGAAATTAATATGTAATCATATCAGACTCAAAAGTGTGGGTACGCAGTCACGGAAAAGAATTATGACAATATTACTGTGACAGCGTGCCACTGACACAAAATGACAAACTATATCTAGGCGTCATTGTCACTGATCTGTGGTAATTGATTGTCTTGTCTTCATGACATAAGAATATTTTAAAGAAATTATCGACTGAGTAAATATATGTGGATACAAAATAAAAGTAAAGTGGGTGAAATAAAAACAAAAGATTAAGGTATCACCGTCATAACAAAACAACGAACTACTGTTTTGACCTCACGGTGCGCTTAGAGCGCGCAGCTGCAGCATTAGCTGCGTGCGCTGGCTTGATAACAATATCAGCTGATTCCGATGCAGACAGACTCGACACTGTGGAAATGACTTCGAGGTTCTCCAAACTTGAGATACGCTGACGCACCCCAGAAGCATTCTTGGCATAAATGTTACCGTTGAATGTCCAAACTTTTGTAATGCCAAGCCGTCTTCGGGCTTCAATAAATAATAGTTGTCTGCGTCTGGTCAGAAACTCGGCAAGGACAAACTGGGTTCCCTTCAGTTGTGTCTTTTTCGACCATATGTCCTGCTTAAGAATGGGATTGCAGGGCCGAAAAACAATCGGTCTACACCGCCCCTCTGTGGTGGCTCCCATCCGATAACAGCCTACTATGTCGGCCTCTTTGACAATAACACCAAGACGATCCCGAAGTATTTTGGTTACAGTAGTGGTCAGCTTGACATCGCTGTTCTCAGGAACACCACTCAGAATAAGGTGTTTGCGACGGTGACGCATTTCAATCTCATCGTTGGAGATAATGAGTTCAGTGATTTGCTGTCTTAATAGAGTGAAAATAGTGAGCATTAACTCCTTAAACTCACTGAACTGTTGCTGCAGCTGAGTGATGGTTGGACTCGGAGATGATGCAGTCTTCAGCTGGCCCTCGAGCTCGGACATCTTCTTGAATAAGACTGCCTCCATGGACTTCTGAATGGATGCTACATCAGCAACACTGGCCATTGTATCCGGTGGTGTGGTGACAGACTTGTGAATTATTGCGAAGTAGTTGATTTGAGAAACAAGTTGCAGTGGCAGGCGGGTTAGTGCAAATAATTAGACTATGAGTGCATGTATGTGCCTACAAACGCTGGTTGGTAAAATTTAGTGTATAATATACAAAAATTGTTGGTATATAACTAATAATATGTAAATTTAATAATAATATAAATTAATAATGAGGATGGAATATTTTATTGACTGAACAGTGCAACTACCCGCCAAAAAAAAAAAAGAAAAAGATTATGGTGGGGCCGCACTCGGAGCGAATTATATAGACCTATACAGAAAAAAACAATAGTTGGGTAACATCGGTTTACGATCGATTTGAGTCAAGGAAGTAGGTACTAGGTACCTACTTCCTTGACTCAACTCCGGCGCTTTACGCCGGCCGCCGCCATTAGACGAGGAGCCAGGTTCTTGAAGTGGAACCGGAAACCCCAGCGACTATCAAGGTCAAGCCCTAAATATCTAATATGTGGCTTGACCTCGAGCCTATGACCGCTGACCACGATATGGGCTCCTGGTGGCGGCGCTCGTCGGGGTCCATGGAAACAAAGGACCTCCGACTTCTCGAGCGCCACTTGGAGCCCTAACCTCCTAATCCTGCCGACAACAAGTGCCACACTGTCAGTAGCGAGACGGGCAGCCTCCCTGTAGTCCCGCCCGCGGGACGTTACCAGCGTGTCGTCCGCATAGCAGACTAAGCTGGTCCCGTCGAGCAAGGTGCCCCGCAGATTCCAGTCATACCCGATGTTCCACAGGACCGGACTCAGAACCGATTCCTGTGGAACACCGCGTTGCATCTCCCTCTCAATCACCGCGCCGTTCCGCCCGATACACATCACTTTCCTGTCTTGGAAGTAGGCCCCGATCACCTCCCGAAGGTAGGGAGGCACTTGGTGGAATTTGAGTGCCTCCCTAACACACTCAAAGGGAAGGGTGTTGAAAGCATTTTTGATGTCGAGAGACACCGCCAACAACACCCCTCCCCGGGAGACTACTTCATCCGAGAGGGCACGAACCTGTGCGATCGCATCGATCGTGGATCGGCCCTCCCGGAACCCGAATTGATTCGGGGATAGGTCGGGACCCACCCGGACCAGGTGCTTGACGAGGCGGCGTACTATGATCCTCTCGAATAGTTTGCCGACCGTCAAGAAGGACTATCGGGCGGAACGCCAAGGGGGATATGGAATCCGCAGGGCGCCCCTCCTTGCGGTGCAGGACTTCTCTGCCCGCCTTCCACTTCTTGGGAAATCGCCCCAACTCCATGCACTCATTGAAGAGGCTTAGGAGTCGGTCCCCAAGGGCACCAAGGGCCAAATATAGAGTCCGGCCGGGAACACCATCAGGCCCTGGGGCAGTTTTCTTGCCCCGGAGCTTGTCCACGGCCGCGGAGAACTCTTCCGCCGTGATTGACGGAACCCCAACTTCCCTTTGGGTGCCGCCGTCGTCTTCCTCTATTTGACGGCTGCGCGGCACCATAGGAGGGGGTGTGAACTCCGGCTGCTCTGGGAATAGAGCTGTCAACACCCCCTCCAATTGCTGGGGCTGGAGGCTCTCTGCCACGGGGGGCGTCCAGGGGCGTAATTTGCCCCTTACGCTCCTGTATGGGCGCCCCCATGGATCTTTGTTGAGAGTCTCCAGGAGTTCCTCCTTGGCACTCTCTTTGGCCCTCCTGATGGCGAGCTGCAGCGTCTTCTTCTTCTGCGTATATTGCTCGTGCAGCTCGGCTTCTATAGCGGCGTCACGGCCCCGCCTGAGACGGCGGTGCCTAATGTACTGGCGTCTAGCGGCCATGCTTTCGACTCGCAAGGCCGCTATCTCTTCGGACCACCAGTACACTTGACGTCTCGGAGGGGGAGGGCGGGCTCGGGGCATGGCCGCATCGCAGATGCGGGTCATGGCCTCCCCAAGCCAATTAGCTTCCTCCTCTACCTCCACAGGCCTGGATGGAGATGATGACCAGGCCTGCACTATAGAAGCCTCCACCAGCAAGTCTCTATTGAGACGCTTCAGTGCCCATTTGGGGAACGTCGGAGCGTTTCTCTCTAGGCGCTCCGGGTGCGGAGCTCCGGACGGGGGGAGAATGTCGAACCTGATATAACGATGATCCGACAGGGTCTCCACCTCGTCCATCACCTGCCACCTCCGCACCCGGCGTGCGATGGATGGAGTGGCAAGGGAGATATCCACTATGGATTCCCCCTGCCATCGCACGCATGTGGCGACCGACCCCACGTTTAAAACAGCGAGATTGGACGCCACCGCCCAGTCATCCAGGACCGCGCCTCGCGCGCTAGTACTGGGGGAACCCCAAGCTGTGGATTTAGCATTGAGGTCCCCCATGACGAGTACTGAACGGGTTGAGTGGACACTTATGAAGGTGGCCAACCCGTTCAGGTACTCTTCGAATTCGGCGACGGTCCTGTTGGGAGAGAAGTATACTCCGACGACGACGATTTCCCCCCAACTCACTCCTACGTAACCCCGTCCCCTAAATAGGGGAGTACAGGGAGAGGAGGCTGAACTTCCCCCGACTCGGACGACAGCAGCCAGGCCGTCTGAGTCGCCGAACCAATTGTCAGAGGAAGGAACTCTGTATGGTTCGGCGACTACGACCAGGTCCACGAGCCACTCAGCCGCACTTTGAAGGAGAAGGTCCTGTGCAGCGACTGCGTGGTTCGCGTTCGCCTGGAGGAGACGAAGGGGACGGGGAGCCATTAGGAAGGCGTCTCCTCCTCCAACACGTCGTAACTGTTGGAAGTTACGGTGGCGGCGGTCGCGGGAGGTGCTGGTGCCGGCCCCTTCTTAGTGATTTGCCTGGTCTGGGAACAACTTTTGCTTCCCAGCCAGTGTTCCGCCGGCCTGCCTGCCTCACGGCAGATGGCACAATTTGGTGTGGCTGTACAGCCGACGGATTTGTGGCCAGGCTTGCTACACCTAAAGCAGAGGCCACTGCGGTCCCTTTCGTGCGGGCACCTTGTCCTTATGTGGCCGTTCTGCAGGCACTTGTAACACCGCAGCGGCCTCTGCTTGAGGAGCTCGGCGGGGGCCGATATCCAGCCGATTCGGATACGGGCTGCTGTGGTTATTTTCTTTACCACCAGGATGGGAGCCCTTACCCAGCAGGTGCCTAAGCC